TTATAACCTGCTGAGGGTATTTAAGAACACTATATTCAATAAAAAAAAATAGAAGGCATACTCGAAGTTTATTGATTCTTCTCCTGAATGATCCTTACACATTTTATCATCGAAAAAAATATCTCATAAAATCAACCTGTCCAAAAATTGTTACAGTATAATTATTACCTGCTGAGGGTATTCAGGACCACTTTATTAAAAAAAAAATAGAAGGCATCGAAGTTTATTGATTCTTCTTCTGTGATTCAGGTACTTACACACATTTATAGAAAAAAAAAACTCAGAATCAACCTGTACAGAAATTGCGTTCGACTGATACCTATCGCCGCTAGTTTCAGCTCTATCGACTGGAGAGCCAATCGGCGCAACGCACTCCCGCTCGCGCACCTTAGTATCCCCCAAGACATCTTAATTTTTACTTCTGCGCAATAAGGATCAGCGCTAGAGTTTCGTGCCGCGGCTTATATAGCTCTACGCACGGCAAGCATGGATTCTGCATCATCTCCTTCTCAAAGGTTGATCGCATCAGATGAAGCCAGTAAGTAGGCTTGTTGAAAATATATCGATATATCGATATTTTTTGTTCGATATACCGTTATTTTTTGCCGATATATTTTGATTCGATATAACGATACATCGATACAATATAGATATTTTTTTAATTATTAGCGGCATATCACGATCTAACTAAATTCGTATCTGGAAAAATCGTAACTGGATCTCAGATTAATGATATTCAACATATCTATGATCTGTGCTGTATTTAGTATTGTCTATTATTTGTAAATCTGTTTCGCTGGTGAATTGGTTGTGCTGATTTCCATTATATTCTGTGAAGTGTGTGACTGTCTAGTCTTGTTTACGATAGAGACCCTGCAATCATTTTCATCATTCGAAAATTAGGTCTATTTTTAGGGAGATAATTTTCGTTCCATTATTATTCCGCGTGTCATATTTCGTGAGATACTGTACGATATTTTTGGGAAAATTGGTCCGATATATCGATGTTTTTTTCGCGATATTCGAAGCCGATATTGATATTTTTTAAAAGATCGATATATCGAGATTTTTTTTTCAACTTTCGACATCCCTACCAGTAAGGTCCCTAAGGCCATAGGCATCCCCCACGGGTGTGTTTTAGTCAGTAGGAGTCTGACATAACCCTACAGCCGGCTGTAGGATATCCATGAGATTTTCGCACCTGCTCCCTCGCCTGGGAGGAAACAAAAAAAAGCATGGATTTGTAATGAAATAATGTCTGATGCTTGGATAGTTAGAATTAGTGGCACTCTTTGAGCAAAACCACAGACAAACTTAAAGCGCAGACGTTTTTTTATGAAACATAGCCAATGCGAAGGCTTCCTTGCCTATGGTCTTTGTCAAGAAGTTTCCTGCTCGTAAAATAATATTTTTCTTAATTTGGTAGGTATGTAAAATGTGGGTCAATAGCCTCGTCAATCATCTCATTACGGTCATTCTCTCAATGTTCTGAGCCTTATCGCAATTCAGTAAACAACAAAACGTTGTGGGATATTCCATTCAGTGATTCATAAAAGTATAGTAGGTATCTATTTAATTAACTTCGCTTAATAATGCCGACCTTATTTCATCATCATCCTATTAATGTCCCCACTGCTGGGGCACAGGCCTATGAATGGAATAACGTGCCTTCTGAAGCACGGAATAGCTCGAGATAGTAAATCTGTTTTGGTCACCCATCCAATGACCGACCACTGCAAAAGTTGCTTAACTTCAACGATCGCAGCCGAACGCGCTAATCACTTGAGCCATCGAGTTGAGCAAGGGTAAAAGCTGAGCGGAATAGAGTAAAATAGTTTTTGCCTAAACTCATCATCATCATCAGCCTATTAATGTCCCCACTGCTGGGGCACATGTCTTCCCAATGGATGGAATAGGGAGATTGGGCCGTGACAGTGCGTTTCGGTATGTGCTAACGCCTGCAGATGCAACAAGGCTTCCGAAGTACGAAAAAAACTCGAGATAATAAGTTTTTGGTCACCAATCCAATGGCCGACCGTTGCGTTATTTGCTTTACTTTCACAATCGCAGGCTGAATGCACTAACACCTGCGACGTCGAGCTCCGCAAGGTAAAACTCAGTGTAGTTAATTCTTTTAGAGCGGCATGTTTGAAACTGCTTGAGAATGCTTGCACGTCACGTCAATGTGTGCGCATGACTGAAATTAATCTTCGTTCGCAGCCGACTTTCCGCATAAGCACTGCGTTGCTATGGCCATCTTATGACCGTACGCAATGCGGCAAAATAAAACCGCAATCTAATATATAAAATTCTCGTGTCGCGGTGTTTGTGGTTAAACTCCTCCGAAACGGCTCGACCGATTTTCGTGAAATTTTATATGCATAATCAGTAAGTAGGTCTGAGAATCGGATGTAATCTATTTTTCATCCCCCTAAATGTTAAGAGTAATCCACCCCTAAATTTTCTTTTCAATTTTAGATATATTTTTTTTAATTTTTTTATGATACAGCATTAGTAAATACAAATAACCATGAATTTTCAACCCTTTAAAATCAACCCCTATTTTTTTATGGCGGTACGAAGTTCGCTGGGTCAACTAGTATAGATATATTCATACAAAAAAAACCTGGCTGCTTTTCCACCACACAGCTGTGCTGTGAGCGCTAAGCAATGAAGGAACTGCGGCGAGACACCATCTTTTCATTCAAACCAGTCTGCGTATTTACGGATCGGCCATGACCTTGCTGCTATGAGCTACGGTTTAAGGTAGACTTCCATGCATTGCGGCTGATCGCAGCCGCGCGTGATCATTCGTTTGCGATTCGTTTTTGAAAAGGTATGAGACCGTGCGGCCGATATCTATCGTCGCAGACTTTAGAAACCCATGGTATTTCAAACAAAACAATGTTCCCAAGCAGATTGTGTCAGTCCTATGTCGTCTACGCCTAGGCCACTCATGTACTCCGGTACATCTGAAGAAAATTAAGGTTAGAGATAACTCTCTCTGTGAATGTGGTATAGACGAAGGAATAGCGGAACACTTGTTATTTGACTGTCCCAAACTTCGATATTCCTTATATGATGTCCTTCCACATGATGTACCTCGACCTTTAAATGTTAAAAACGTCCTAAAATTGGTTAACTCACCCTTACTAAAAATAATTGTTAAATTTATACAATGTAACAAATTAAAACTATAATTAGACACGTTTTCAACCTCCACTAAAATGTTAATTCTGTGTATTGTGATGTTTTGTGTTTTGTCGTGCATGCCATAAAATGTGTTGTGTTTTGTTACAGGGTCGTTAAATCAACATAGGAAGTGACAGAATTATTAAAATAGTATATTCAACTTCTCATTTCAAAATTAATTTTATTGAGAATCCCTTGTCGTATAGTGGCTATCTACGTGAAATTGGCAAAATAGTATATCCCCATTGAGCCATCAAAAAAAGAAAGAAGAAAAGAAGAAGACTTTAGAAACGGCGCCATACATTTTCATACACTCGACTATTGTTACCTCAACCGCGCGCGTCACTCACAAGTCGCAAACGAAAGATCGCGTGCGGCTGAGATGCACGAAGTCTACCTTTAAGCTGTACGTACTTCAAAACTTATCAATTCCTAACTTCACTGTACAAAGATTAACACGAGGTCCATACATATCCTTCTGATCGTGTTTTCCCTTCTGAGTCAATAAGTAAATGGCAACGATAGTCATACAGCGAGAAATGATCACATGAAATGGAGTTTCCAGCTGGGAAGGTAACCTCCATTTTAATATAAGAATGTTGGCGAAGTAATTTATTTTAATTTCTCATCATGATCAATAGGCAAAGTCAAATTTACAAATGGCAAATTCGAATTGTCATGTGAAGTGGAAGTATAGGAGGCAGCAAAATCTTGACCACTGGCAAATAAAGGACAATGGGCAAAACACACCCAGCTCGGCCAACAATGTAATTAGTATGAATCGATAGATCTATGAAAACCTAGCCTTTTTTATTATGACACCGTAAAAAAATATCCAAGTAGTCAAAAGATATGACACTGTATAAAAATATAGTAGTAAGTAGCTAAATAAATTTATTTTATAGTACCTTCATTTTATATTATTAGTAACCATAATAATATGCCATATCATACTATACAACCAGATATACGACAAAGCCTGCCAACCATCCTGCGCTTGCTTACTGAGCCACCACGAAACGGTTTACGGGGTCGAAGGACTTGCAGTTGCAAATAGTCGACTCGTCTTACTTCGTTGTTATCGTGCGTCTTGTCATTTGATTGATTTTTCTCTAACACGCTTTTGACATTGGAACACGATTATCGGTTTTATGAATTAGTATCGATAAACTGGAATCACGTTTTCTCCGAAGCATAGACAAGTTTGTGTGATTTGTGGTCGCTCTGTTTTACATAGAAGACAATTTACTATAACAAACAGACTGTTTGAAAAACCCCCAACCCATGCGGGGATTTTTGGATTTACTTTAGCGCGGCAGAATAACATGAGGCACCCCAGCACCTTGTGAAGTACTCCCATAATACCTGTGCCCTCTATGTACAGTTGAACTAACTAAATTAATTTGTTCTTATGTTCTTTCGTTATAGTACTTGTATCTATTTAACTTAAAATAACTAAAGACCCCCAGGATGGAATTTGATGCAGGTTGGCACAGATGATCATGGCTATAATACCATTTAAAAAAATGTAGTTTAAGCTGCGGCAGAAGTGAGTGCAGCATCCATACATTTTTGCCCAATGTCCTTTGCACAATTGACGTTTTTGTATGTTAAAATGGTTCTGTGCAGACTTTCTTGTTTTTTGGTTGTTGCTCAAGAAGTTTGCCATGATATACACAAACTGTGGTTATCTGTACAAAAGAAATTCCTTCCACCAATGAGCGCTCCAAAACCTAAAGACTAAGGAAATGATGACACAATATTGATCTAGAAAGTGAATCAAAATAAAACTGGATACTGGTACTTACAGATTTTGCAGGGAGCTTGCGCTTCTGCATTTTCCTCTCGTCGCTCAACAGAAGTCCGGTCGATTTTAGTTCACCATTAGCGTCAGACACATTCTCACTCAAATCCGAGATCTCCTGGCTCGGGATCTCATCACAAACACTACGCACTGCACAGTCCACTTCATCCATCGAATTGTCCTCGTACAAACTGCCATCTGTCAAATCACTCAAAGTCCTCGACATACTGTGGGAGAGTTTTGTAACCTGCATGTCTTCTGTGTCACTCAAATCTGCCTCAGAGTCTGTGTATTCACCATTAGAATCGTCAGAATCACCGAACACATCATTTGATGTATAACAACTGTCTGGTGATTCTTCAAACACTATGAAGGAATCTTCTGAGTCACACTCTGACACCCGTTTCGTTCTTGTTTCCTTAGGACTGTCACTGAATACAATCTGAAATGAGTCTTCACTCTCAGTCGTAGATGTTGAACGGAATCGACCGCTAACCTCATCAAAATACTCCATTGTATCATTTGGAGTAACTGTTTTCGTTTGAAACGGATCAGCAGAGTCAGACAGTCTATCTAATGAGTTGACAGATGGGGAATTTTCGACACTCGACAAATTATCACCATCAATCTCTTGAGCGAATAACAAGTCGTCTTGAATGCTCTTTTTCAGATATGTCTTTTTTCGTTTGTCTGTTGTGCGACACGGATTCTTATAATGTTTGTCTTTTATTTTGTCGTTCGGTTTCAGTTTCTCATTACTCTTAATTATTGCTTCTGGTACAGAATCAGGTGAGTTTGCTTCAGCTGTTTTTTTCTTGCGTTTTTCTTGGAGTAACGCTTTTAATTTGGACAATTTATCTTCACATGACGATATCAATTGCTCTTTACATAAATTCTCTGCATTATTTTTTTCAGTCTTTTGTTCAAATACTTCCTTTGTCTGTGTAACTTTTTGGTCTTTATCACAATTAGATTTTATGCTAACTTCTTCACATTTTATTGGGACTTCTGTGAGTGTTTCTATGATATCTGTGTCATTATGGACACTTTTCTCCACCTTAATATTCGGAGATGCAACTTGCAATAGATCCTCATCATGAATTTGGAATTGGCTATAATATTCAACATATGTGTTGCTAGAGACACTGATAAAGTCATCTGGTGAGAATGCATCTTCGAAGCTCTCTTCTACCGAGCCCGGTTCAACAAAAGCCTTCTTCGGTCGTCTAGTTCGAAATTTAGGCGCTTGTATGGGCTTTGATGACAGTAACAACCTAACTTTATTCAATTTTTCTTCGCATTGCGCCACTGCCGTCTTACAGTCTATATTCATGTCTGTTTTTGAATTTGAATGTATGTCCCGCACTGATTTATTTTGAACCTCACTGTTGGATAGGTGCCAAGCTAGTGGCGCTCCCTGCGGGCCATCATCAAAACAATCGTAGTACTGAACGGGAGATTTAGGACGCCAATTGGCCATCGCGCCAGTTATGACACTCAAAACGCCAGAGAAAAAGCTGGTTATCCCGCCAAAAGTCGGTGGAGCTTGCTCCATTTTTGGTGGTTCTATAGTAGTGTTCAAAAAAGTCTTGTCTCTATTCGCACTGTTCTGTTTGTTTTCCCCCGTAATAATGCTGTCAGCTAAATTCTTTTTCAAAGGATCCGGAAGTAAATGTAAGTTGGTCAGGATTCCCTCACCGAAGGCGTGCTTCATCTCCTTCTGGTGCGCCTCGGTGTTGTAATTTTGAATGTTTAATCGTCTGGGATCGAACATGTTGATGTTATGATTTTCGCGCCAATCTTTACCTACAGAATACATTTTATACACTACAGAATGTTCAGTCTTGAGGATGCTAAGCCATTTCTACTCACGCACGCATTGTAAAAGGCTTGTAAGCTTGTCCACACCACTTTTTACAACACTTCAAGGCGAACAAATCCAGAGTATCGTCCACTATTCTTCTCCGTGGTTTGCTCACTATGTAAACTGTGTTACAGCAAATAATATTCTCCAAATACACTGAATCACTAGTGATTTTGTTGTTTGCGAAATTATGAACGTTGTTGAGCTCCATTGTAGCGAAAATTGCAAAAAAAAACACGTCGTTACAGTTCAGCCATTTTGTATAAATATGAGTAGCATAGACAAAAACAAAACTTCTTCGATACCAGATAGAGATGTCCATTAACTAAAAATCAATGTATTGAATTAGAAGAAATTCAATTAAATAAATCGATTATGTATTAGCCATGTACAATAGGCTACTTGACTCTTTTTGGAAAAAGGTTTTAAATGATGAATAAATGTTCTATTAGACCGAAAAAAAATGTAATGTATTTTTTTTAAACCTAGAAAGCTACAAATTTTTAATTTAAAAATAGACTTTTCATGGACATACAAAAACGCTGTCGGCCATTTTAGTCTATAGATTATCTATGCTATGACGTCAACTGTGGTAAACAAAAACTCGTAAACACGTAGAAAATAACTTAAAACTCCGTTTATAATAAAAAAAACATGATTTCTAATAAATACCACGAAAAATAAAGTAATTATCATTACTGTATTGTACGAGAATTTAGAAACACATCCCTGAAGACTCTAGGAAAGTTGTGAATTAAAGTGCCGAAAGAAATTAACCTACGCAACTTTATTACACTTATTCATATGTTGTAACAGTTTTATGTTTATTACTACATTGTAATACTAAATGCACTGTACTTACATAGATACCTTGTCATTTCACTGCTCCGCACAGCAGAAATCGGAGTTTAGTGCAAAAAATTCACCAATCATCAATGCGTCAATTCTTGGCAGATTTGTGCTTTCTGCTTTCACAAAGCCGGCATCCATAATTAGTTTTGTCAAAAAAAAAACTAAGTTTACTGTTTTTTTCTTTCCTAAAGTTAAAAGTGTTTTAACATAAATTTAGTCAGACGAAAGAATCCACCCACAGTAATACGCGAATGACATTTTGTTGTTTACCACAAGAGACGTCAAAATCATGGCGGATGTGGCGAACAGCGTTTTTAGTGTTTAAAAAATATAGACTAAAAATATTTTTTAAAATTAAATTTCTACAGCAATCTTCTGCTTTTATGAAGTGAAATCGATATATTTAGGTTCCTTAGACCAAATACTTTAAGAAATAAACATTTATTTAATACAATTCGACATGAGTCAACTAGCCTATTTAATCAAACTGTTATACCATCATTTCATAGGCACACAGTAAAGGTCAGAGATAGCATAAGCTTACAATAACATCATAGGTATCGCTATTGGTGCTATTTATAATTATTATAGAATTGCAGAGTTGCTGTTGTCCAGGTTAGTAAAAATGTTTGTTTAACTTTTACTGACGTACTAACAATACAGTCGAACCACGATAAGTCTGCAGTACATTAACGACTAAAAAAGTGGGAAGATCTTAATTATATATATAAATTATGGTTCGCACATTCATGGGCTGATTTCGATGATTCAGGTTTAGGGTTCCGTACTCAAAGTGTAACAACGAAGCCCTATTGCTGACATTCTGTCGTCTGTCTGTCCGTATGCTAAGGGTCTATAGGTCGTAAACGGAATGAGTTACAGAACAAAGCCCAATTTTTAGTTCAAAATTCAATTTCATTATTTTTAATGGGGGTTGAGTAGAATATGAATATTGTTACGTATCGGGATGGGGTTCAAATTATAATGCCAGTTCATACTTGACAGTTCAACTCAACTCGTCAAATCTAATGTAATGGTTTGGCCCTCCTAATGCATGTTATGAAAAATAGGCGCGAAAATAAGTCTGCAGTGTGTAAACATGCATTTAACAACCATTACATTAGATTTGATAACCTACAGATCCTTGTAACTGAACAACCCATTATACAACAGATAAAATCCCAACCCCGAGCACACACTGCAAAACCAACAGATACTATTAGTTCTTTTTGTTTGCATGATTTAACATAAGAAGGAGATAGAAAGCCTCTCTCAGTCTGTTTCGCCAGTTCTTCTCAGAAAGGTCTCCAGTGGCGGATTTACAAATTTGCCGCTAATAGGCTATTAAATTTTTGCCTCCCTCACTGACCTTTGAAATTCAATACGCTAGTTCACAATTATATTTATTCTGAAATTGCAACTTTATGATTTGTATCGTCCACATTACGTCGGCTTTTCCCCGTTAGTTTAAAAAATTACTAAATTTAAATTAATATTGAAAAGCTAATGGAATATTTTAAAAATTCATGATCGCATAAGTACATACCTATATTTTACAGTGCGTTTAGTAATCTTTTATATACGGATTACGGACGTAAGAGTGTTGAGTATACTGTGCATTACTAAAATATTAAAATTTTTGTCACTTGTTTTTCTGTGTAGATTTTGGGCCAAATTTGCCGCCCCCTTAAATCTGCCGCCCTAGGCTCCAGCCTACTGAGCCTACTGGTAAATCCGCCACTGAAGGTCTCCCTATTTTGGGACCGACGTGTTTCATTATTGAGTAGTCTTACAAGTAACTATTCAATTAAATTAATCTCGAAGAATAAGTCTAATTGAATGATCATATTGTAGGCCAAGGTTGAGTGATTTTCCTCTTTTTGTTTGCTGATGCAATATGTCTGTTTTCGTTGCATAGATTCAATCAGTTTGTGATAAGGTTTTGAACTCAGAAAAAAATATGTGGCTAAAGACAAAACAGGTAAGTTCTGTAGGTACTGGAATTGAAAATGTTTGATTAAAAATTATTTTGTTTCGTTTTTTCAGAATGTTTTCTTATTATGTTACTTTTGCTTCGATATAGTGAGAGTTGACGAGAACAGACTCAATTACTTGTCAAAATTATGTGTTCCTGTTTACACATTATTTCTTAGAGTTGCTAACGACATCAAGTTAGCTGATTCTAAATAAGAAGTTTATAAGATTAACGAGCTCTTCACCTTATTCATAAAAAAAAAACATATAAGATTGATAGAAATTGTATACGGATTTTGTTTGGAGTGTAGTGAATTACAGAAAACATATGTTCTGTTTATAAAATTATAAAACAGAGGAAACATTCTCAATCTACTTTTGCTGGTGTTAAACGTATTTTGTTAATTTGCGACATCAGTGCGTAAGTTTAAAAACACTTTCATATGGTTGATATTCCATAGAATAATATTTGTTTATCTTGCATTTTTGGTGTAAGTAAATTGAATTGGAAAATATTATCTTTTAGGGTGCCATAGGTACTAAGTAGGCTCAATGGCATTATAATTATTAAGCCTCTGCTTTGTGACCATCTGTTTGAGGGTTGTATCTCATGAATTGGTATCTAGACAATTGAGATTTTTATAAAATTTGTACTAGTTATGATTCCCCCACCTTCCTACCCCCTGGCTTTGCAAGTTGCTCAGAAAATAATGTTGCTTTTTCTGATATATTAATTTTCAAATTCTGTTAACCTGTATTAATTGGTCAGTGCATTCGCCTGGATTGCGAAGGGTGCGGGTTCGAGTCCCGTCCACTGCCTGGTCCGCGTGGATTTTTTTCTAGTAAAACTTTTCTTTAGATTTAAACATCTAGCGGTCAAATGCTTAAAAATGAATAAAAACAACTGTATTAATTAATTCAGCAATATCAGAGTTAAAAGAAACTTTGAAAATAAAAATTAAGTATAAAAAGTAAGATAATATCTTGATACATAAAAATTGCTGTCACAATACAATACAGTGGTATGGCAATGAGGATCGGTAATTTTAGTTGAGAATGTAGGGTTATAGAGTTAAGGATTCCAAAAAATACAGTGATTCAAGTTTTGTTCTATGACAAATATTAACAAAGTTATGACCAAATGATTTGTCAGCTGACCGCGTGGTGGGACTGTGATGTCACAGAGCTCTAGTGCTCGGAATTGAGTGTGCAAAGACGCTACTGAAGTTCCACCGGAGTGAACCATGATCGAGCTCTGTGACATCACACTTTTTGGCTGCCGGTGAAATTTGGCTGCCATAAAATTAGTTATACAATCGCAACAAATGAACCAATTTAGATGATTTTAAAAGCTCATTGGGGTTTACCTCGCAGGCTTAGAAATATTAAAAAATAATCGACATGCTATTAAGGTTATGGTAGCATAATGGTCAGTACATCCACCGGGATAGCTAAAAGTGCGGATTCGAGCCTGTTCGCTGCTGGTTCTCATGGAATATTTTCTTTAGATTTAAACATCTAGCAGTTATTTGCTTAAAAAATAAAAATACAATTTAATTGTTGCAGCTGTAGGTGATATAAAAATATCCCAGAATGGGTTCGGAGCAGTCTTCGATGCCTCAGAAAAAGCAGCAGCAAAGAGCTCCGCCCGTTCGTAGAGGACACACCATTGCAGTTACGAGCCATGCTGTAGCAGGTAATATTTATCATTGATGACCTCCGTGGCCGAGTGGTTTATACGCCGGGTTTCATGGTGTCGCCGACTCGAGAGGTCCTTGGTTCGAATCACGGTGGGGGCAGATGTTTGTGTGATGAACACCAGCATTTGTCCTCCTGTCATAGATGTTTAATATGTATTTCTATATACCGTGCTTCGGAAGGCACGTTAAGCCGTTGGTCCCGGCTGTATCTACAGTCGTTAGCACCCGCGAATCCGCAGTGGGCCTGCGTGGTGTGTCATGGCCCAATCTCCCTTTTCCATCCATAGGGAAGGCCTGTGCCCCAGCAGTGGGGACATTAATAGGCTGATGATGATGATATAAATATACTTATATATGTACAGTATATGTATTCTATCTGTTACCATAGTATCCCATAACACAAGCCTTACAGTGCTTACTTCGGGGCTACGCTAATTGGTGTGACTGTTGGAAATATTTATTTATTATTCAGCTGTCCTCTTCTGAATTCATTCAAAGTTGTTGCAGAAATAGTTTCTTCAATATTTTTTTGTGTTGTGTCTAAACTTCATTCCTGTAATATCATTATCATCATCAGATTCTCATACACTAATATGAGATTTGAACAATGTGGACTGTTTGTGTCATGTACAAAGACCAAAAAATATTATCAGAAAATAAATAAATGTGCAGTCCAAAAAGGAATGACTAAGTAAGTACAGCTTCATTATACCATCACAAAGTGTATGTATTGCATTGTTTAACAAAGTTCCCCAAGATCTGATTGAGCTTCCACTAACCAAATTTAAATCTCAGATTAAGAATACTCTTATGAATAAGGGCTATTATAAAGTTAATGATTATCTAAATGATCGTAATGCATGGACATAGTGTTTCTTGTAATTTCTTATTTGATGGGTATGAGTCAGTTTTGTAACAGTAGTATGGTACCTATCTAATGCCGCTTCCTATATATACTAAATATAAAATTTGTTGTAACTATATATCTATACCCTAAATAATGTAATGGAAGGTGACTTCAGAAGTATGTCTGAAGTCATTTTTCAACTTGACGACTCTGTATATATCAATACAGGGAGAAAAAAGCAGCCCTTGCTGAGTTTCTTGCCGGTTCTTCTCAGTACAAGGTCTCCCGCCGTAGTTTTGCGAACCGATGGCGTAGCTTCTTGACTTTCACAAGTGCTTGTAACAGCCTAGACTGAATAAATGACTTTTCATTTCATTTCATTTCATTTCATTTCATTTCATATGAGATTTCTACTTACCTCGTATCATGTATAGAGACTGCTAAATCTCAAACGTTAGAGTTCTCATACGTTTGGTAACCCGCGACAACACAGGCCGTCGGACAGCACCTTTACAGTGCTTACTTTGGGGCTAGGCTAATTGGTGCAAGTGTTGGAAATATTTATTTATTTATGTTGTTGTTTGTTCTAGACGGAAGACGTAGCATCGATCCCATGGCCAGTGGCAATAATTCACCCGGAGCAAGTGTGTGCTCCGATTCTGAGCTGCCGTACATATCTTACACGGTCGATAGACCTATAGGAGGTAATTTTCATTATGGGTAAACCTTAAAATATCATTTCCTAAGTTTAAATACCATTAAAATGCCATTGCCTTACCTTAAAATACCATTGCCCAACCTTAAAAATCCACTGCCCTAGCTTAAAATACCATTGCACTACCTTAAAAATCCACTGCCCTAGCTTAAAATACCATTGCCCTACCTCAAAATACCATTGCCCTACCTTAAAATAACCCTTGCCCAACCTTAAAATATCAATGCTCTGCCTTAAAACAGACCGGCAGGCTGCGGAGGGCGGCACGCTTATGCCTTACCCGAAGCTCAAGCACGAATTTTGACAGCGTATTGTTTACGTCAAATATCGTATGAAAAAAGCTAGTTTGTTCTTACGTCCGACAGGGGCGCTGTTTTAAGTTTTCATATAAATTTTGACGATGCTATTAAGGACATGTCCAGTGCCGTCTTTGACCTATTGCAGGCCATTTACAGACGACGGCGCCTTTAAGAGGCACACCGCCGAACGGACCTCACACCTGGCTCCCGCAAACCTTACGAGCGCCCACAGTGGCTGCCCACTGAGGACACCGTAACTCTTACGGGCGCTTTACGGCATAATATACGCTAAAAAACCCTGCGAATACCCTCTAAGCTGCTTAGCGCGAAACCGCGGGATCCCCGTTTAGGGATTCTTCCGCGTACCTATTGGAGGCCCTGGGCATATTAGGATAATGGGGCACCTATGACTTCCGTTTGGTGAATTAACAGGAACTAGGGACTTGGAACTAACTAGGGACTTTGTATTTGATCTAAGAGGGCCCCCTATCGATATCACGGGGCCCTGGGCAAGTGCCCAAAGTGCCCACTGGGAATGACGAGCCTGGATATGTCAAAATTCGTGCATTGGCCACTGCCCTATCTTAAATACAACTCTGGCTACGGCCCTGTTTCCACACATATTGAAATAATAACTTAGTATTCTACATCATTAGCCTATTAATATCGCCACTGCTGGGGCACAGGCGTTCCCTATGGGTAGGACAAGGAGATTAGGACAGGACCCACCATGCGATGAGAGGTAGGGCATAGCGAATTTTGGAGCGCCCGACTGGGGAAATATCCTCCATCTTACACAAGTAAACACTTCCTTTTGGTGGTGTTCTGTTTCTGTCAATGAGAGCATGTAACTGCTTGATGTTTAAATCTAAAGAAAATGTAACTAGAAAAACATTTTTCTAGTTATATGGTCCGCGTGGAATTTTTCCTAGTTATATTTTCTTAAACATCAAGCAGTTACATGCTTTAAAATAATAAATTTTTTAACTATAATTGCTATTTCTTCTTGCAAATGTTTAATACTTGTAAAAGTATTCATTTGACATTGTGGGTGGCCTATAATGCGAAGAGATGGCGCTGCCTTGCAGCTTAAGAATGGCTAGAAGAATTTCGACGTGGTCCGTGAGGGCCGCGGTAGCATAATTGGTCAGTGCATTCGCCCGGATTGCGAAGGGTGCGGGTTCGAGTCCCGTCTGCTGTCTAGTCCGCGTGGAATTTTTTCTAGTTATATTTTCTTTAGATTTAAACATCAAGCAGTTACAACATGCTTTAAAATAATAAAAATTATACTATTATCTTTGCTTACAACCTCATGTTACTTCAATTTATAAGAAAAGATAAATTTAACGGATTGGACTGACTAATACTTACGCCTACAAACAACCATGTTGACGATACATGGTCTCTGATTAAAATTGTATATAGGGCATTTGATAAGTTTTAGAAAACGATCCCACGTTATTGACTAATGTTTATGGAGTCCGTAAAAAGTGGATATTCATCATTCTGTTGTGTATTTTAGTAAAAATAACCAAAACTCCATTTTCAAGTGCCCGCGAAAACGTTTCCCTGGACAATATGGCATCTTACTAGTGTGTGACGTCACACTACTGTTATTAAAACGTCAACGATACAATGTAATGTCACTTTAACTGGAAGTTGACTTGCTTGTGACATCATTTTAGGCTCCGCCAATCCCAAGCGTTTTGGGTCACGTGACAATAGATAAGAAAACTATTATCTTTTTCATTAGTTTTTAGCAAAATAATGAATTTTTTTTTAGTAAAAATAGTAAAAACCTCTGCCAATATCCATTCTAAACACACATGCTAATAATTGGCACTTTATTTTTAACACTGTCAAATACCCTATTGCAATGTTCGTATCGACCGAATCGGTTTCGGTTAAACTATAGTGCGAGTTATTTTTAATATAGGAGCGCCGATGAGATGCTTGCCTACGGCGCTCTCAACCTTTAATCCGACACTGTTCACTTTGTATGGATTTGGCACATGCATATAAACACATCGACTCTACTCGCTCACACGTGTACACACACACACACGTACACGTGCACACCCACACTCACACACAATCTGACCGTAGGAGGGACCTACTTTTGTTGGATCTCGTTTGCATGTCTCGGTATCATCTTTATTTTTTTGTTGTTTAATTGTTTTGTTCACCCTGTATATTATGTAACACAACCATCAAGCAAAAGTCTTGTTAAATAATTTCTTATTTAGACCACTACAGTCACTGTCATCAGTATTTCTTCCACACCCAATGAAAATAAAAATGACGACATGTACAATGCTTTAAAAATGAATAAAAAATTAATGAAACGTCAACTTGCTGTAGGAAATATAAAACGTTACTATTGGAAATTGATACCTCTTATAGAATATTTTCGATTATCAAATTAGGTATTTTCACAGTGTATGGATTTGGCACATGCATGAACACATCCAAGCGTATTCACCCGCTCACACCTGCACACACACACACACACACTCACACACAATCTGACCGTAGGAGGGACCTACTTTTGTTGGATCTCGTTTGCATGTCTCGGTATCATCTTTATTTTTTTGTTGTTTAATTGTTTTGTTCACCCTGTATATTATGTAACACAACCATCAAGCAAAAGTCTTGTTAAATAATTTCTTATTTAGACCACTACAGTCACTGTCATCAGTATTTCTTCCACACCCAATGAAAATAAAAATGACGACATGTACAATGCTTTAAAAATGAATAAAAAATTAATGAAACGTCAACTTGCTGTAGGAAATATAAAACGTTACTATTGGAAATTGATACCTCTTATAGAATATTTTCGATTATCAAATTAGGTATTTTCACAGTGTATGGATTTGGCACATGCATGAACACATCCAAGCGTATTCACCCGCTCACACCTGCACACACACACACACACACTCACACACAATCTGACCGTAGGAGTACCACCTACTTTTGTTGGATCTCGTTTGCATGTCTCGGTATCATCTAAACAGAAGTGGGTGTGGCTGAAAACCAACGCTGCCCTAGGCCTTCCGTAACGAAGCAGTTTATGCTGAACAACATCCATTTGCCCTTCATGCTGTCATATCGCATTGGAAGGTGACTTCGGTCGTATCTCTGAAGTCATTTTTCAACTTGACGACTCTGTATATAAAAATAAAGGGAGAAAAAAACAGCCCTTGCTGGGTTTCTTGCCGGTTCTTAGTACAAGGTCTCCCGCCGTAGATTTGCGAACCGATGGCGTAGCTTTTCGACATTCACAAGTGCTTATAACAGCCTAGACTGAATAAATGACTTCATTTCATTGTACTATGTATTGAACAGAGCCCTCTTTCCCAGGGGGCACTTTGGGCAAGTGTCCTCAGATTAAATACAAAGTCCCTAATTCCTGTTAAATCACCAAACGGGGGTCGTAGGGGCCCCATTATCCTAATATGCCCAGGGCCTCCAATAGGTCAAAGACTGCACTGATATTGAACTATGTATTACTGTGAGAGCATTGAAAATATTTCTATTTCTAGATTCACCCAAAGCATCAGCTAAGAACCAACGCACCGATAAGAAGCCTTTACAACGGAGGCAACTCAGTTTACAAGCGAGAAAGAGTAAGCGAGCGCGCGATATTGTCGTTGTCGCTCACGCATCCGGAATGGCGTTGGATGAAGATGCTAGACGATTACAGGTATTTATTCATTTGAACTGACATTCGAATTGTGTCATTAACACACACACACATACACACGCACACATTTGACGACCTTGACGACCTCCGCGGCCGAGTGGTTTGTACGCCGGGTTTCATGGCGTCGCCGACTCGAGAGGTCCCGGGTTCGAATCCCGGTGGGGGCAGATGTTTGTGTGATGAATACGAGCATTTGTACTCCAGTCATGGATGTTTAATAAGTATTTCTCTATAAATATACTTATATATGTAAAGTATATGTATTCTATCCGTTACCCTAGTATCCCATAACACAACCCTTATAGTGCTTACTTTGGGGCTAGAGTAATTGGTGTGAGTGTTGGAAATATTTATTATATTTATTATTATTTACACACACACACCCATAAACACACACACACACACACACACACACACACACACACACACACACACACACACACACACACACACACACATATACAATGACGCGCGCGCATTGCACACATCTCGCCCTTGTTTGGTAGAGGGTTTTCTAAACTATTATGCTATAACTTAAAAAATGAAAATCCGTAATTGGCAGAATTAAATAAATAAAATTAAAGGAAGGAATCGCAAATGACGACGTTCTGTTCCTCTTCGTATAGGTAACGTGCGAGAGAGACGGATGCCATCGATTCCATTTACTCAATGACACGCGCCGTCCGCGTTAAATTTAGTTTTTTGAAAACCACTCCGGAGCTTATATTTTTTCGGGATAAAAGGATTCCTATGCCTGAATCCAGATAGTAAACTATATGTGTGCCAAGTGATATCCAAATCCGTTCAGCTGTGCCTTAACTTGTTTCCCTAAAATCCCTCAGGAACGTTTAATTTTTTTCGGGATAAAAAGTAGCATATGTGTTAGTCCGGGGTGTCAGCCAACTCCACACCAAATTTTATTAAAATCGCTCCTATAAAAAAGAACTAACAAACATACACACTCATACACTTTCCCCTTTATAATATCATAGTGTGATATTATACTTTGACTGTAATGAAACGAGTGCCCAAATGAAAGACAATGAGATACGTACTGAGATGATAATGGTTTACTGCTCGGAATCCAATAAAAAGTATTTGTAACCACAAAATTTTCTGCGTTTTTATACAGGGTACATTGTCGGCAACGCCATCTAGTTTCCAAGTGTCGAAACCTGAACACAATGCGAAGTTTTCAAGCTAGATTTACCTAGAGTAACTAGATGGCGCTGTCGTAACAGTAACAAACATACGAATTCAGCGGCCGCTCGCTGCTTCGCCCGCGTCAACTTTATTCCCTCGGGAACCTAACATTTTCCCGGGATTAAAGTAACTCTCATTCCATGTTATAAACCGTATTGTGTACCAAATTTCATGCAAATCAGTTCTACCAGTCTTTGCGTAATTTATTTGATTGAGTAACATACAAACTCACTTTTGCATTTATAATATTAGTTGGATGTAATGATCTGAAAGCAATCAATGACGCTAAAAATATATTTTTCAACACATTTGTTCGAAAAAAGCATTTACGGACATACGAAGCGTGCGGTAAAATTCATTACGCACGCTCCCATACATGGCACCGTGCGTATTCTTTACGGTTTTTTTTTCAATTCGATCGAACCTCCTCGGAAACGCTTTTAGTCTATACCTATGTCTCGCTTTAATACTAAAAAGAAGAAGACAAAATATGTAATTCTAACTTTCACCACCCGCACCTTTTGGAGAAGCGCGCCATTTTCATATTAGAAACTAGTGGCCCGCCCTCGCTTCGCTTCGGTGTAGAGCTGAAGTGTAGACTATAGTTATTGTTCTCAGGCTTGTATTATACACAATGGCATTCTTCTTATACCGACCGCGCCGCCGCGACCCGTGTCGAGCGCGGCAACCGTTACACAAAAATAATCCTTATAGCATGATTCAGTATTCACGTGCGACGGCGCGATGGCTTATTTCATGTATAAGTTTGGTGTTTCTATACCGATTTCTATGATTCTTTTTTTATTGAATAGGTAATAATGTTAACTTTTTTAAATTAGGGATGAGTGAGAGTATTATAAACGTAAGAGTAAACAAATATAATCAGAATGCTCCGAACTGCTAAGCTATCAGGAGTTACACTGTCAACCATAAAAGATAGACATATGCTGTTGCGGGATATTTTTTAGACAATTTTATATAGAATATTTCCGTCATACATGATTTCTATGTAACTTTAACCATTAAGGCTGCGCACGCAACGGAAGCTAAAAAAATGGAGTAACTTCTCCCGTTTTCCCAACATTTCCCTTTACTACTCTGCTCCTATTGATTGTAGCGTGATGAAAAGTATACTATAACCTGCCCAGGAGTATGAAGAATAATTGTACCAAGTTTCGTTAAAATCCGTCGAGTAGTTTTTGTTTCTATAAGGAACATACACACAGACAGACAGACAGACAAAAATTTTACTGATTGCATTTTTGGCATCAGTATCGATCACTAATCACCCCCTGACAGTTATTTTGAAAATATATTTCATGTACAGAATTGACCTCTCTACAGATTTATTATAAGTATAGATAACCAACTTACTGTACTTGTATCTTAAATACGTATTCTTCTTTAATAGGAAATACCAACTTTTCTTCCAATAATGCGGGGCACACTCGGGCTTCCGGTTGCGAGGGACCCCGAAGTGTTGGAAGGTAATATATTCGTTTTAATATTAAAAACATACAGTACCCTTATTACGAGTTTGAGCTCACGAAAACTATCATAGTTTTCGTAATTGTAAATTATGTTTCTATGTACATTTTGGTGAAAAGTAACCAAATATACTTGAAATTTAAGAAGACGCAAATGATTTAATGATAGAATTTAAATACTGTTTATTTGTATTGAAACGAAAACAATAAAATCAGTATCCTTAGTACGAGTGCGAGCTCACGAAAACTATCATAGTTTTCGTAATTGTAAAACTCGTACTAAGGGTACAGTTCCGAGCCACATCTAGGGTTACCATCCGTCTGGATTAGCCCGGACATGTCCGGACTTTTAGACTACTGTCCGGACTTTGTCCGGTTTTTTTCAGTGTCCGGTTTTTTTTTAATTACATTGAATGTGAATAATGAAAGTACATATTGATGTAAATACCATAGCATTGTTACTAAGCGAGTAATGGTTTCGTCAGGAATTTGGAATCCTAAATAGCATAATACAACAAATACAAATTCTTTATTTGATACAATAATTTCCGATACAGTATTGCGATTGGGAATTTCTTTTAAGTAAATATATACTTGTATTAGAAATTCCCGCTCTCCGTGCTTAAAAACATGGTACATTGAATTATTGATCACCTTAATATTTTAATAATAATGATATTATCATATATATAAATCTCGTGTCACAATGTTTGTCCTCAATGGACTCCCAAACCACTGAACCGATTATAATAAAATTCGCACACCATGTGCAGTTCGATCCAACTTGAGAGATAGGATAGTTTAAATCTCAAATTATAGTCGCAATTTTAATTTATTGCAAATTATTACTTTTGGGCGGTACGAAGTTCGCCGAGTCAGCTAGTAATGATATAAAATCTAAAAAGTAGCAAAAAAAATTTTTTTTTACAATATTTCTTTTAGTCGATTTGTTTGTCTAATAATCTAATCTAATATAAGTATAATAATCCCTAGCTACATCGCACAGTCTGTCTGTTTATCGCGATGATCTCAAAATCTACTGAATGGATTTTAAGACATTTTTTTTAGCATAAGTTAGATAGATCTACATTATACAGTGTTTCGTCAATTCAAAGATGACACCAAAAACTGAAAAAATGTGTTCTTTTCAACTTTTATCACAATAATATTATTAATTACTATTAATGTGATGAAAGTTGAACTATATTAAATGTTAAACTATATGACTTTTCTTTAATTTAAAATGTTTTATTATTTAGCAAATAATAATCCTCATGATGAACCCTTTCGATGGTTATCATAAAATATGTCGTGTTTTTTTTTCGAAATTTCATGAGTTTGATTCCCAGTTGTAGCAGGCGATTAAAAAAAAAATCTGTGAATGCAGTTCTTGTTATTATTAAAAATAAAATGATGTCTTCTTTCAGTAAAATATCCTATCTTCAATATTTAACATATTTTCTCTCCGTGTGAGGTAGCCGTGGGACGCCCTGTATATATAATTTTCTAATATATGAAATTCTCGTGTCACGGTGTGCGTAATTGAACTACTCCGAAACTCCTCGACCGATTTTCGTGAAATTTTATATGCATATTCAGTAGGTCTGGGAATCGGACAACATCTATTTTTCATCCCCCTAAATGTTAAGGGTGGTCCACACTTAATTTTTTATTTGGACAGTTTTTTAATAAAATATCATACAAAAATACATACAACCCTAAATTTTCACCCTTCCACCACTCATATTTTTATGGCGATACGAATTTGGCTGGGTCAGCTAGTATATTAATATATATTTTTATATATTAGCTATTTTCTGTCGCCCCTCTGACTAGTTATTAGCATTAAACAGCAGTTGCTGAAAATCAGCATTTTGTCTATTAAGGCAAAAACACTGCTGAGCTTCTGCCTATTTGCATCACTGTCACTCACTAATGATTGTAGTTCATACTAGTTATTTAAGAACTGTTAAACTTATAATCATTTATGTCTGCTTATTATTAATAGTATTAATTTGTGATGCAAATAAATGAATTTATTATTTATTATTAAACAGCATTCTCATATTTGACTGACATAATCGTGTACTTATGTATGTATTGTATATATGTATGTGTGTATATGTATGTATATATATGTGTATAATATGTATATATTCTGTTAAGAGTATTTGTATCATAGGTTTATCTTAAATTTGTCTTTATTGCGCCCCCGTCACATTAGTTTTTTTTCTTACGCTCTTACTGGTCGACTGGTAGAGAATTCCTTATGGCATTATGTCCGCCATTTGCTGTGTACTTTTGCAATAAAGTTTAAATAAAATAAAATATCCTCCGTGACTAGAATTATTATCAAATTTATTTGTTTCTTAGGTTTTCACGCACATCACTCATTAAATAAAACTAGTTTTTACGGGTTAATGCACGAAACTTTATTTATTTATTGACGTTTATAAATAAAAGTTTTATTCTGACCACGAAGCCTGTAAAGGCTAAGAAACGTCAATAAATAAATAAAGTTTCGTGCATTAACCCGTAAAAACTAGTTTTATTATTATCAAATTCGTAGGTTTAGACTACAGACCTTGGGTGAGACTGACTACCCGCTTACAAGCGCATTTGGCTGCTTGCGCTCAACCGCTTGCGGCGGAAGAAATCAGCTTAGCGACTAAAATCAAAGAGGTATGTAATTATTTATTTTTATTTATTATTTATTTATTATCTTTGGGCAGCTAACAGCTTATGAAAATAAAGATAACAGCAAAAAATATTACTAGAAGCTATTGACAAGCTACCACATATAGAAATAGACTAGCAAACCAGTGAACCAAATGTTCACCAAAACCTGATTAAAAAAAATGTATTTAATTAATTGAGAACTTCGGAGATTTTGTGTGGTTTCGTTTGAAATTCGTGATTTCTCGAAAACCGGAAGTGCTACGTTACTCAAATCCGGTTTGTAGTCTTATCAGACTATTCTTAACTTATAACTTAAATATTCTCTTTATCTATCTCTTACGGTTTGGCCGCTGAAACAGCACCACAGACAGACAGACGGACGGACTTGTCTAATAGATAAGAGATAATGTAACTTATATAATTTGTGTCGCTTGTACGCCGGGTTTCAAGGTGTCGCCTACTCGAGAGGTCCCGGGTTCGAATCCCGGTGGGGGCAGATGTTTGTGTGATGCATACGAGCATTTGTACTCCAGTATTTATTCTATATAAATATACTTATATATGTACAGTATATGTATTCTATCCGTTACCCTAGTATCCCATAACACAAGCCTTATAGTGCTTACTTCAGGGCTAGAGTAATTGGTACCTTATATTATTTCTTTTACAGTTAGATGTGGACATATCCCAATTATATTCTATAATGGTGGAAAAGCAGCGTGCTAACGCAAGGCACGCGGAAAGATTGGCTCGCGTCAGAGAAGTTACTCATCAGCTGTGCAGATGTAGCTCTTTATTGGACCAGGTGAGACGTTATTCTTTATTTATTATTCCGTTGCAGCGGCGCGCTGTCCGCATCATTGGCGATGAAGAGGTAACCAGGAAACTCCGAGTCTCTACAATTACGCCGCGATGTGGCATCATCATGAACTGGAGTCGCGCCCTATGTAGATCTATTTGTTTCTTCTACAACGATTCACGCCTGCTGACTTGCTCCGCCCCTTTTCCTACCACTGATCCTGGTCGCGCTTATCAGTCGCTCGAAATGAATTGTTAGTTCAGTTGATGGCCAGCGTATGGTACTGCTGGACGTTTTTACTATTTAATAAACAAAATAATGATGTTCGTATGCTTTGAATTAACTTTTTTGCAGTGATGTTGGTACGATGTGTGCGAAATTGTGTCTTATTGAATTTAACTATTCTATATCATGATTTATTGGTTTGTAGTGTCCAGGTAGGTTTAATATTGTAATTTTAATAGATTTGTATTATCTGTGTTTACCTACCTTCTAATGTGAGCATAAAAATTCAAATGTTATATTTTAGTCCTTATTTTCATTTTTTGGTAAAATTTAGTATTGGTTTGTTATAATATTGATAAAAATGCACTCGGACATATTTTTTGTTTTGAAATTACCTTCGATGGATTTTAAATTGTGGATATTTTTGTCTCATTTTAATTTTCTCTCTATACAGATTGTTTTAATTAATTTTATACATTGATAGGAACACTGTTTCATATTATACGGGAATGGGCGTTAATTCTGCAACACAGTTTTTGTAAAACTAAAGCAGTTTTAACGATTCATAATTTTATGTACATTGCACTTGTTCCAAATAAAGTTATTATTATTATTATTATTATATTAAGCGCATTTTATCGTCTATACCACGGCGAGTGTTCTGAGGAGTTATTCTCCCTTATCCCTCCATCACCTTTTCTTCAGAGCACCACGCGCGCTAGCCTACGTTGCCACCGACTTACTGTGGCCACTATTCCTACACGAACAAAGAAATTTGGTGACTCATTTCTTTGTCGTACTATTCGTAAGTGGAATTCTTTACCCGCGCAAGTGTTCCCTCCTTCCTATAACCTGGGGTCCTATAAGAGAGGCGTGAAGAAGCATTTTTGCAGGCCGGCAAGGTGAGGATGATTGGTGTAGCAGTTTATAACTGCTGTACCAGCTATCTTCGCGTTTGGACTTTATTACCACTTAACATCAGGTGGGGTAGAGTCATTTACCTACCTTAATATAAAAAAAAAACTTTCATAGTGGCTAACATTATATATAGTATATTAGTTTCTTAGGTTTTCACGCACATCACTCATTAAATAAAACTAGTTTTAACAGCAGCCTTTTCAGGTCTGCATGGTCAGAATAATGATTTTTTCATTTCCTTTGTCGAGCTACCTTCGAAAGACTTTTATTGAGCGTTCGGCTATTTCATTGGAAGATTTTTAAAGTTTTATTGTCTATGTATGAATTTATTAGTTAATTTAGTACAAAATAAGAGATAGAAAGCCTCTCTGAGTTTGTT